TATTTTTTTTTCTAGGATGAAAACAAATATAAATTTTTAATTAAACCAATATACATATCACATATAGTCCTGAAAATTCCAGAAAGTTTTTTTTTATGGAGTAGCATGTTCGTGAGGATTTTTAGAAACGTCTTGTAAGTTTTTCTTGTCAGCCAGAAACGTCAGTTTTTAGAAGATTATGAATGTTGTACAATCATAGACCATGTCATTCCTTTCAGACACCCACCACCTGTGGCTCAGCGGCGTGTCTGTAAGTTTATAACGTTAAAAATCAGGTTTCGAAGACCGCGGTAGCCAGAGCACAGATTGTCTATTGTATAGCTTTGTGCTTAATACCAGACAAACAAAATATTTCGGACATGCTCAATATTAAAAATGAAACATTTAGACCAGCTAGAACGACATGTGACTTGCTATATACAGAGCGTTGATGTTCGTGAATCTCTGTCATTACGCGTAACATCTGTTCAACAATGGACAGGTGCAGTAGGAGAACAGTCTCTAAGAAGCAGCTGGCTCAGCGAACAACATCTGATCAGAGTGGCGTGAAAATGGAAGGGGGTATGTTTACATAAACATTTCCCTTCTCAAAGTCATAGCCTTGTTTGGCAAAAGTTATCGGCCATACATTACTCAGTTTAAACCAGGTTTTCCCAAAACTTTTTGAGTTGTCAACCCCTTGGCGAACTTATAAAGTTGTCGTCGACCCCTCAGATTCTTAGAATATAAATGAAACTTCAATATATAATCAACTTTTGTTCATTATAATACAATCGATAGGAAACATAGAATGTAAAAAAAATAATGAGGTTTTAATCATCTATAAAGAGATCGATGGGCTTGATGGGCTTTAACAAGCGTATGAATATTGGGCTGTAGGTTTGTGAGTTTGAGTCTCAAGTCCCCACGTTTTTCGACGTTGAGTCTGTTTCTCTGTTTGCTCAGAAGACCTAGTTGCGTAGGCCAACCTTACCGTAGGGGCCATTTTCGACCCCCTGTACAGTCTCATCGACCCCAGGGGTTCGATATCGACCACTTTGGGAAACCCTGGTTTAAACAATAATTTTGAACTCTTTTAATATATTATTGTGGCTTAGCTATACTTTTATGAATCAATTGTTAAATTTATGCACAGAATATTGTGTCTTTGTTATTAGTTTTAAACTAAGTTAAATTTGTACACAACTTTTTTTAACAGTTTCACATGCGTTTCATATTTGGTAGCTGCCTGTGTTACGTGTCAAGAAGACCGTGGCGAACTGACAGAGCAGCGAGTGATTTACTCATCAGAGGACACCATCAGTTTATCTCTAGAGTACGGATATGGGTAAGTTAGAAAAAGACCCGTATCAGCGAAAGGGCACATTTCCGAATTGAGATGCAACTCTCGTTCCTAGAAATAAATGATGACTTATTGATACACACTGTCAACACAGAAGCAATGCTTTTCCTTGATCGACACCTGATTGGGTCAAAAACAAAAGGAACGGCTACCCATTCCCTACCGGGAAAGTTCTGTGGAAAGCAAATATTATAACTTGTTACATACATTTGGTTCAGTCTTTTTTCTTCCTTAAAAGTATGATATTTCCATACGACCTTTGTTCTCCTTATCCCATTGTTTTGTAATGAATATGTAAAACAGTTCAATTTTCAAGGACATATCACCATAATTTAGAGTGTACAGTATATATATATAGTTGTTTTTTAACTCGTGTAACCAAATAAAATTTTTCTTTTTTTACTCTATAATTTATTTTTAAAATAAGAATAAGGCCTGCATGTAGTGTACAGCGTCTGGAAATAATGTTACTAAATTTAATAACACGACTAAACAATTTTATTAATATAATTTCTGGACACCCTGCATACAGTTAGATGTAACTACGTATCTTCATAAAGTTATAAAAAATACAACCATATGAAACACCCAACATTTTTTTCTTTTTTGTTCTGGTTGATTTGATAATGATAGTTTGGCATTATGCCGTATATAAAGTTTATCAACAGTTTGGCAAGAATTTGATATCATCACCTGAATCTTTTATCTATGGATATTGGTATAAAATGCACTTTAGAATGAAATCGATTATTGCAAACGAAAGAAAGAAGCATTTTCACATCAGTGAAAGAGTGCGTTCGATTCGACCCATTACGCCATGCCCCGAGGAATCAAGAGTTTTTCATGAAATAGATTATTGTAAACGAAAGAAAGAAGCATTTTCACATCAGTGAAAGAGTGCGTTCGATTTGACCCATTACGCCATGCCCCGAGGAATCAAGAGTTTTTCATGAAACTGAAAAACTACGACATTTCCCGGGGCGTACTGTATATGAGTTTATGGAATACTTGTTGTTGTTGTTGGTTGTTATTAAGAACGAAGCTGCACGAAGGGCTATCTCTGCTCTGCCCACCACGGGTATCGAAACCCGGTTTCTAGCCCTATAAGTCCGCAGACCTACACCGGAACATGGCGTAAGGGGTCATTTGACGACGATTGTTTGTAGTTAAGCTCAAAGCTCATTTGACGTCGAACAGAAATGATGATTGAAGTGTAAAATTAACTAGTGATTTGATAATTAAATAACTGTTGCAGTATCTTAAATACAAACGTATTTACTTATTTCTTTTTTGCAGGAAAAACCAGATACCGACCAATGGTCATTCAGCGGTGACGTTGGATCCAGGAGATGGAACGGTTAGTCTATGTTTTACCTTAAACGTTGTGTACATGACAACCAATTTAAGTTTTATTCAGCCGTGACGTTGGATCCAGGAGATGGAACGGTTAGTCTATGTTTTACCTTAAACGTTGTGTATGTGACAACCAATTTAAGTTTTCTATATTTCGAACAAACCTAAACCTTACCAATCTTATAGTATGGTAGAGCAGTGTTAGTTTTTAAGACAACGATTATAGCATGTTCATTGTAACTGCTGATTGGATTGGTTGTCCTTCCTGTTGTCAATAGTTCAAACAAACCTAAACCTTACCAATCTTATAGGATGGTAGAGCAGTGTTAGTTTTTAAGACAACGATTATAGCATGTCCATTGTAACTGCTGATTGGATTGGTTGTCTTTCCTGTTTTCAATAGTTCAAAATTAGGCTATACCTGAAACCTTTTCAGGCCTCTAACCTGGCCTTTTAGCCCACGTGCGCAAAACGTGTATTTTAGGTTCCAGATGTCAAATTCGTGTCCCCTTTCATTGGTATATCCTCAAATCAAGATATTTGGCGGCCACAATGTTTTTTTTTTTGTACACAACCATTACACCAGCACACTATGCAAACTTGTTTTGTAGATCGCCAGAACTTGTGTTATAGATCGGCAAAACTTGTGTTGTACATCGCCAGCAAACGAAGTAAGACTCGTTCAATCACACAGCTTCAGTGGGTAGATAAAAAATTATTTTATTTTTTTTATAGACGTCTCATCTCTCACAAGCGACCAACGATCACATAAAGCAAAGAACTCAGTCATTGAAGTATATTTGTGTCTCAAAAACAAAAACTCAGTTTCAAAAGAATCGGTTAAACCATTTTGTTGTAGTTGCAAGGGTTCCCGAGTTATGGGTGCCTAGAGTAATATTACAAAATAACCAAAACAACTTAAAGAATCACTGAGTACATTTCAAACATGGCTTGGATGTTTCAATCACACATGTAATGACAGAAAAAACCGAACAACAACAACAGTTATTGATTACACCATTTACTCAAAGTTCATAACTATAGCGGTCTCTTGCTTTGTTTGTTTAGAATTAAACACAAAGCTACACAATGGGCTATCTGTGCTCTGCCCACCACGGGTATCGAAACCCGGTTTCTAGCGTTCTAAGTCCGCAGAATGGAGGGCCGGTTTATTGCACTTATCGTAATGGCACAATTATTTTTTAACGACCTAGTTAAGTAAATACAATAGTGCCATAATGATAAGTGTTAGAGACCGCTGTAGTTATGAACTTTTAATACAATGGTTATAACCAGTAATGTTTTTATTAAGTAACCTAATTGGCGGTAGGTTTATGGAGTTAAAAGCTAAAATCCGATCTGAGGTACGATTCCCGGCGGTGTACAGAGTGTAGATAGCTTTGCGCTAAGAATACAACAACTACTAGTTAAATACTTGTCATTTTCTCTTCGTTACACGTCTGCTGTTGACATGATGAAGTTTAGTGTAATATGTAATATGTTCTTCAATCTGGAGGATTAGGAAGATCATCAAATAATCAGTGGAAATACCTTGGGACATGTCTTCTAAGTTTTATTTGTTACAGCTTAAAGCTAAGTCTGAACTAAAAAAAATTAATGCAAGCCGTCCCCCAGCACTTGAATTAGACATTCGTTTACACAATCATACAAGTACATCATTGTTATCAGACCCTTCATATAACACAAGAGATGTTAAGTCATGTAACAATCACACAAGTACATCATTGTTACCAGACCCTTCAAAATCTTCTATTCATGCAAGGATTCGCAACAATGTTTCCAGTTTCAGTTTACAACATTATGTACCTATGATTATATGAGGCTAAGTGCACATCTAAAACCTACCCGTATTTTGCTAAGGTTAAAGATTATATGAGGCTAAGTGCACATCTAAAACCTACCCGTATTTTGCTAAGGTTAAACTAAACAATATATCAGCGACAGCTTTTTGATACAAACGAAAACTGTATATTTACTAATATGATAGCTGTGTTGAAAGAGAAGAGTTACAATCAGTATACAATTAAACAGAAACAATGTACGTTGCATTTCTTAATGAACCGAAAGCCTCACTGGCATGGCCCAATGGTTAGGGCGATCGACTCGCTATCTGATGGCCGTGGTTTCTAATCCCCTTCACCGAATATGCTTGCCCTTTAAGCCGTGGGGTGGCGTTATAATGTGAAGGTCAATACCAATATTTGTCGGTAAATAAAAGTAGCCCCATAGTTGGCGGTGTTAGGTGTTGACTACCAGCCTTCCCTGCTAGGGATGGCTAGTGCAGATAGCCCGCGTGCAGCTTTGCGCAAAATATGAAACAAAAACCGAAACCCTCGATCTCAATAGCATCAGAAACAAACACAACCTATGTAAAGTTTGTAATCGTTATTTCATTCAGGTTCTTCTACAAATGAGGGTCGATATTCTGCTCATCAGGAAACATTTTTCATGAAACATATTAGGGCCCACGCACAGCTTTTGTGTGTTAGTTTGTCTTCTTTTTTTTCACGCACGAGTCGTCTTTCTTCAGTGACACATTTTGTTGACTGTTTAGGCTATAGTTCTTCAACGACCCACCTCCTTAACAAAATGATTCCCGTAACTAATCGATCATCTGTTCGTGCGAACCCGCTGCCCATCATGAGCTGATACTTGTGTGTGTGTGTGTGTACTCACGAAGTACACTCTACGCATCAGTTGCAATATAGAACTCTGATTGGCACTGACAAATAAGTTGAGTACTAAGTCTTCTCTCCAGCAGTTACCAAGCTGTTGGAGTTGATGAAGGTAAACGGGCCCTTGACTTATATTGAACCATTTCTTGGAAACATACACATTTCCATGTTATGCAGTTAGGTATAAGAAACATCGGTTGGGGTTAAAAGCGGCCGAGTTTTGGTCACTCACTAAGGAATTCTGTGATTACTGTATTCTAAGTCATTAGAAAATTATTGTGATGAGCGGCTGCTTTTGTAAGTTCAGCCGGTATAGAGATTACGAGGTTCCCCTTAGGTAATCAAACGCTATCATTCGATATACAAGAAACAGGTGCAAGTTCACAAAGCAAGAGGTCGGTTTGGTGTGAGTATTAGAAAGGAATATAAAAGAAAGTAGTTCAATAGATAAAGGAAAACCGGGAGATGTGAGAGAGAACAAAAACCGAGAGAGAGGCGAAGAAAGAGAGTAATATACTGCCAGCAAGAAGAAAAACATATTTCTAATTCTATGTGATATTGATTACCAATAAGTAATTTGTTATGTTTACCTCGGTATGGATCAGTTTCTGATAGGAATGAGTACATTCTAAATAAATTTGATGGGCATAAGAAGGTAAAGTGAAGTGCGAATACAGCACGATCCTTAACACTTCATCTTACGAATCCATCCTTTGGTTACTTGGATTTCTGTAATAAACTCATGAATCTCCTGCGCATACTGATAGCTGACCTAAACGTGTCCAAGTCCTACAACTACGCATTGCTATCCTAAAGTCATTAATGTTCCACAAACACAACCCACTATCCTAAACTCATTAATGTTCCACAAACACAAACCACTATCCTAAACTCATTAATGTTCCACAAACACAACCCACTAACCTAAACTCGTCGATGTCATAAAACACAACCCACTATCCTAAACTCATTAATGTCCCACAAACACAAACCACTATCTTAAACTCGCCCATGTCATAAAACACAACCCAATATCCTAAACTCATTAATGTCCCACAAACCACAAACCACTATACTAAACTCATTAATGTCCCACAAAACACAAACCACTATCATAACCTCGTCCATGTCCCACAAACACAAACCACTATCCTAAGCTCATCCATGTCCCGGACACACAGACCACTATCCTAAGTTCATCCATACCTTGCACATACGGACCACATACCTAGATTCATGCTTCTCCTGTACATGTTTTACCAGTATTCTAAACAAACCAAACTTTTCACCATCACACATCCATACCTTGCACATACGGACCACATACCTAGATTCATGCTTCTCCTGTACATGTTTTACCAATATTCTAAACAAACCAAACTTTTCACCATCACACATCCATCCCTAGGAGAACCAGATTGCTGTTATTCCGAGTGATCGTTCAGAGACAGAATGAATGACATTTACAGTCGATGTTATTCGAAGCCACAGCTGTGGCCCATGTACAGAAAGTTTTACCGTTATTAAACTGGATCTTCCAAAATTGTCTACCATATTGGTCATGCTGTATTTGTCTTACGAACAACAGCAAGTTTATTCATATTAAGAAGCCAGGTCTTTCATAAAGCATACAGAGGTTGGACAAAGTAATGGAAATGTCTATATTTTATTTACTAATGAACACAAAATAGAATATTAAAAAACGTGGAATCGTTGTGCTTCAGACAATAATATATTTATACCAATCATTGATCAGAGCTTCTTGTAATTGTTGAAGTGACGGTGGTGATTGAAATCTGTTCTGAGCTTGGTCTTACCGACTGAACAGAGGCTTGAAAACAATCAAATCTTCCTTGTATTCTTTGAACCAATCTTTAACAATTTCAGTAATATAATGGTGACCACTGGATGAACTTTGTCAGCAATTAGGTTTAAATAATCGTTTTCTGTCACTTTACCCATTCAGTGAGATCATAAGCCTTAAACTATTTCAACAAAAAGCTATCCATACCATCACAGAGCCTACATCATCTTTAATTGGTAACAGAAGACATTCAGGGTTGTAAGCTCCCTCTGGTTTCTATTCCATATAAACACGTCAATTTGACGGACAAGATGTAAAAAGTCGATTCATCTGATCAAACTGCATTCTTCTGTTAACCTTTGGTCCAAATTTTATGCTATTTTGCTTTGGTTTTTATATATATTTTTTTTTAGTTTTTTTACTGTAGACATACCAGGGTAATACATCTTGTGCAGTTAATTTCCTTCGAGGTGTTTTGGACAGTGATTGGTTGTTGTAGGCAACATTAAGTTTTGTTTTTTTTAGTTTTTTACTGTAGACATACCAGGGTAATACATCTTGTGCAGTTAATTTCCTTCGAGTTGTTTTGGACAGTGATTGGTTGTTGTAGGCAACATTAAGTTTTTTTTTATTAGTTTTTTTACTGTAGACATACCAGGGTAATACATCTTGTGCAGTTAATCTCCTTCGAGGTGTTTTGGACAGTGATTGGTTGTTGTAGGCAACATTAAGTTTTGGGCAAACATTCACGTTTTAGTCTTTTGTTTTCCAGTTAATTCTGACCTATCACGTTTTAGTCTTTTGTTTTCCTGTTAATTCTGACCTATCACGATCTGTCAGGTTTCTCGACCACTGTTAAGTTTGTCTGATGTGGTTTTGTTCTTCGATATCCATCCTGACATAACTTTTGACATGGTTCCTTTGAAAATAACACTTGACGTTCACCTGCAATGAAACCCCTTTGGAAACCTGTCAGAACTTTATAGTTTGACATTTTTAGCACCTTTCTCTGGAGAAACAGTAATATACTACCATTATACAGACAAGTTCGATGATATAGATTAATACACAGTTAAATCAACATATGGCTACATTTTTCTCCTTAAAGATACGTAAACTTGGAGTTGACAGGTGACGTGCTTCCGTTATTTTGTTCAACCCCTGTTTATTACAATGGCAAGAAATAATTAGTTGGTGCATAACTAAATAGCAAACTTAACCTCAAAGCTTGCTGATTTGACTGTAATGTCTTCATCGTATTATCGTTGCATGTTAAATCCGATCTAGTCTACAACTAAAATCAAGTCTCAGCAGTCACACCTTCAGAGGCGTTGCATGTTAAATCCGATCTAGTCCACAACTAAAATCAAGTCTCAGCAGTCACACCTTCAGGGGCGTTGCATGTTAAATCCGATCTAGTTCACCACTAAAATCAAGTCTCAGCGGTCACACCTTCAGGGGCGTTGCATGTTAAATCCGATCTAGTTCACGACTAAAATCAAGTCTGCAGTCACACCTTCAGGGGCGTTGCATGTTAAATCCGATCTAGTTCACGACTAAAATCAAGTCTCAGCAGTCACACCTTCAGGGTTGTTGCATGTTAAATCCGATCTAGTTCACGACTAAAATCAAGTCTGCAGTCACACCTTCAGGGGCGTTGCATGTTAAATCCGATTTAGTTCACGACTAAAATCAAGTCTCAGCAGTCACACCTTCAGGGGCGTTGCATGTTAAATCCGATCTAATCCACAACTACAATCAAGTCTGCAGTCACACCTTCAGGGGCGTTGCATGTTAAATCCGATTTAGTTCACGACTAAAATCAAGTCTGCAGTCACACCTTCAGGGGCGTTGCATGTTAAATCCGATTTAGTTCACGACTAAAATCAAGTCTCAGCAGTCACACCTTCAGGGGCGTTGCATGTTAAATCCGATCTAGTCCACAACTAAAATCATGTTTCAGCGGTCACACCTTCAGGGGCGTTGCATGTTAAATCCGATCTAGTTCACCACTAAAATCAAGTCTCAGCGGTTACACCTTCAGGGGCGTTGCATGTTAAATCCAATCTATTGCAGCTTTCACACCTTGAGGTGCGCTCAAACGGAACAAAGGATAAGAAATTCCAGCTATAAAGAGCAATTTTATCTGTACATTTACTGTTAAACGTTAATTTCTAAAAACGGACGAGAAAATAATACGGGAATAAATTGTGCTTTGACCTTGATATTTTCTTAATAAAAATAGAGGTTAATAGATTCATAGGAATACTTATCATTTATGGTTGTGTTGTCCTATCAGTCAAACCAGCATACATTTGTTTGTTGCAGAACTCGAAACGGCGGTTTCTTCGTTGCCCAGCAGCAGTAACGGTAGCTCACCTCAAGAAGTTTATTACCATGAAGTATAGCTTAGGTCAAAGGTACCTGGTAAGTGTATAAAATATATCACAACCATCAGTTAAATATGTCCTCGTTTATATATCACAACCATCAGTTAAATATGTCCTTGTTTATATATTACAACCATCAGTTAAGTTTGTCCTTGTTTACATATTACAACCATCAGTTACGTTTGTCCTTGTTTATATATTATAACCATCAGTTAAGTTTGTCCTGGTTTATATATCACAACCATCAGTTAAATATGTCCTCGTTTATATATCACAACCATCAGTTAAGTGTGTCCCCGTTTATATATCACAACCATCAGTTAAATATGTCCTCGTTTATATATCACAACCATCAGTTAAGTGTGTCCTCGTTTATATATATATCACAACCATCAGTTAAATATGTCCTCGTTTATATATCACAACCATCAGTTAAGTGTGTCCTTGTTTATACATTACAGCCATCAGTTAAGTGTGTCCTTGTTTATATATCACAATCATCAGTTAAGTGTGTCCTCGTTTATATATCGCTTCCATCAGTTAAGTGTGTCCTCGTTTATATATATCACAACCATCAGTTAAGTGTGTCCTTGTTTATACATTACAGCCACCAGTTAAGTGTGTCCTTGTTTATACATTACAGCCATCAGTTAAGTGTGTCCTTGTTTATATATCACAACCATCAGTTAAGTGTGTCCTCGTTTATATATATCACAACCATCAGTCAAGTGTGTCCTTGTATATATATCACAACCGTCAGTTAAGTGTGTCCTCGTTTATATATATATCACAACCTCAGTTAAATATGTCCTCGTTTATATATATATATCACAACTATCAGTTAAGTGTGTCCCCGTTTATATATCACAACCATCAGTTAAGTGTGTCCTCGTTTATATATATATCACAACTATCAGTTAAGTGTGTCCCCGTTTATATATCACAACCATCAGTTGCTTTATTTCTCGCTATACAGTTTTTTCGGTTATATTTTGTAGAAATCTCATTCTTTTTTAGCCACTTCCTTGAAATACATCTGAATCTGATTTAATTATACACACACACACACTTATATATATATATATATATATATATATATATATATGGTTTAGTGCCATCTAGCGAAATATATTATATATTTCTTGTACTGCAGTCGCCGTTATCAATTGTCATAAACATGCAAGATCGCCCGAAGCAAGTAATGATTTGAATTCATTTTATCTGAATACCTTTACAACAACACGTAGCCTTATTTCTTACTGTCTGAACAAATTTAAACTAAAAGATGCAGAATTTTAATTCAAACTATCTAAATATTTTAAAACAATACGTAATCTTAATTCAAATAGTTTGAATATCTCTAAATAGTACATAATCTTAATTCAAATAATTTGAATATCTCTAAATAGTACATAATCTTAATTCAAATAGTTTGAATATCTCTAAATAGTGCATAATCTTAATTCAAATAATTTGAATATCTCTGAATAGTACATAATCTTAATTCAAATAATTTGAATATCTCTAAATAGTACATAATCTTAATTTAAATAATTTGAATACCTCTAATAGTACATAATCTTAATTCAAATAATTTGAATATCTCTGAATAGTACATAATCTTAATTCAAATAGTTTGAATATCTCTAAATAGTACATAATCTTAATTCAAATAATTTGAATATCTCTGAATAGTACATAATCTTAATTCAAATAATTTGAATATCTCTAAATAGTACATAATCTTAATTCAAATAATTTGAATATCTCTAAATAGTACATAATCTTAATTTAAATAATTTGATTATCTCTAAATAGTAC